AACGACTTCAAGAAATACGGAACACTTCAGAAAATCAATTTTAGACAAAATAGCGATCCGTTGATAACCAGCGACTTCAAGCAGTTCATAGGTAAATCCAAGCTTTAATCGCGTTTATTTATAGCAATTTTTAGCTTCACCGCAACTCCTAGGAGTTCGTCAAAAAATTAAATTCGGAACGACTTAAGAGCTAGTTAATTTTTTACGACGAAGCGGTTGATGACCATCAACTTCGAGAAGTACCGAATAAAGGCCAAAAATCGCCAGGAAACTGGTTGTAACTTGTAAAGACTCGGAGGGGCAGTAGTGCCCCCAAGGGGGGCTTAATCAATTTTTGACGCCTAATTCGGGGGCGGTGTGTCCATAGGAGGGGAGCGGAATGGATGGGGAAAAGGGTCTTTTGAAAAGGAGAGCAAGAAGGTTGATGGGCTGCCGACACGCAGAGGTCCCGGCGATGAATTCGCCAATTCGAGGGAGGGCATTCCCCATCCCTTGGTGCTCCTTGTCCTAGGGGAGCATGGCCAAATGAACCTGTCAAGTGCAGGGGGGGGAGGAGGAGGAGGAAGCTGATGACAACCCGCTACATACATAAATGAAGCTCGTAATTGGGTGAGAGCACGATGGAAATTTAGCATAAGCTCGGCAGGCCAGCAGTGATCATTTGGGGAGCTTCTTGAGCTCGGCAAGCTAGCAAAGGCCCGTTAGGAAAAATTTAGAACCGACTAGCAGAGGCCATGAAGAACCAACTCGAGCTTGGCAGGCTAGCAGAGTCACTTTGGGAAGCACAAAAAGCTCGGCAAGTCAGCGGAGATTTTTTAGGGGTTTTTTGAGTTTTTTTTAGCAAGATAGCTGAGGCCATTTAGGAAAGAGCTCGAGCTCAGCAGACTAGCTGTGGTGTTTTGGGAAACGCTTGAAGCTGAGCAAGCTAGAAGAGATTCCTTAAGAAAAACGCTAGCTCAACAGGCTAGCAGAGGTCATTTGGGGAACATCGCGAATCTGCAAGCTAGCAGAGATTATTTGGGAGCGAGCCCGGACTTGGCAAGCTAGCAGAGGCCGCTTGGGAACAAGCTCGAACTCGGCGAGCCAGCAGGGGTTATTTGAGAGCGAGCTTGAGCGCGGCAGGCTAGCAGAGGTAATTCGGGAACCAGCGCGAACCCGGCAAGCTAGCAGAGGTCATTTGGGAACGAGCTTGAGCGCGGCAGGCTAGCAGAGTTCGAAATTCCCTGCTTTCAGTACTCTTAGGATTCGAAAACCTAAAAAAGAAACTTAGAAACCCGCAGGACGGCCGCCAAAAACTGGTCGAAAAACAGGAATTCTAATTTGGTTTAAACGTTTAAAAAACGCTTAAAATCAAGTTAAACCGTAGGTTTTAATAAGCTATAAAAGCCCCTATTTTTTTACGGAAATCAAAAATATAGCGACCAAAAAGTCGCCGTCGCTCGTGTTGTGGTAATGACGTCCGGGGGGTATCGGAAGCCTGGGGGAGGGAAAAGCTCCACGCAAAAAAGGCGATTACTTGGATGGCGTTCCCGCCGCCGGCGGGGTCCACTTTGTTTAAGAGGAGGCCGAGAAGCCCTGGGGGGCCAAACTAGAGATGTTACGCATACGAATACGACATAGGAGTTACGCGTCGTATTCGAATAAGCCGTCGGAATCAAAAATGTCCTAATTCCGACCCGATCGTCGTATTCGAATTAGCGTCGGCACCAGGCCAATGCGACGATCGTATTCGTTTAAACCGGTTCACATCGGGATAATAAGCTAATTTGGATGCAAAGCGATATTACGAAGAAAACGATCGGAAAATGCAAACAAGTAGTCAGAATATGCAGAATTTGAATAGATTTAGGAGCCGATTTCCCGGTCATTTCCGATGGATGTGCCAATATTTTGATATTTACATAGCATTTCGGCTTGAATTGTTAATTAGCTTTTTATCCCGCCGTCAAGCCGACTTGCCAGATCATCGCGTCGGAATTAGCCGGGACTTATTCGAATACGATCGTCGTATTCGAATTCTCGGTACTCTTTCCCAAATCAGATATGCATAACGGGCTAATCTGCCGGAAGTAGCACATCGTATTCGTATGCGTAACATCTCTAGGCCAAACCCAAAAGCCGTTCCGTTTCCCCCGGGCGGCTCATAAAGTCAATGAAGGGGGAAGGCGTGCCGGGATTGGATATTCGGGCGCAGGGATTCGATTTGGATATGCGGGAGAACAAGGCAAAAAAAGATGGCATCAGACTGATTGATTACGGTACTTTTGCATCATCGGAGCGAGCCGATTCTTTTGAATAATATTACATTTTTTAATTGTGTTATTAATAAAATTTAACTATGCTCAAGGGAAAAAAACCATCTAAATACCTGGAACATTTTCAAAATATGTCGAAATTCGGCATTTCTGATCGAAAAATCGATATTTAATTCTACTTCCAATACAAAAACTGCCTTGTTTTAATGTTTAGAAATAGCTATAAAATTCCGATAAGCCGCCCCCCCCTCCCCCCCGATAACATAAGTCCCTATGACCATAATTTCTGTTTTCTGATTACGGTATAAGGCGCAAAATTTCAAAGTCGAATTTTTGGAGAAGTTTTCCAAAAAAGCTTTTGAACTGAGCGTACGCGGTTCGTTCGGGACCAACCGGAAATTGACCTTTTTTCTGGTCTACCCCTGGTTTCGACGAAAATGAAGGAAATAAAAACAAACTTTTGGCGCCGGTATCCTGGAGATCGTCTCGACCATCCGATTCTCGATTATCACGCATTGGTCTTCGGGTGGGGCCACGATCGAGTCGTGCTGAAATGCGGGGAGTACGGTAGAAACGCTGCTCTCTCTTTCACACTCTCTCTCGCTCTCTCTCTCTCTGACTCTCTCTCGCTCTCTCGCTCTCACTCTCTCGCTCTCTCTCACCCGTTCACTGTTATGTGTCATGATGCTCTCATTGCTCTTGCTCTCCGGAATTGTGGGGATGGCCCGGTTGAGTGGAGGTCGACGGACGGGGCGCTGAAAAAATGGTGGCATTCTCGGTATCTTGGATGGGACCGACAAGGCAAAGCTATTGATTTTGGGTGGATCTTCTATGGATTTTGCCGCAACCGTACCGGGTGCCTTTGCCCATAAGATGACTTAAAATAACTTACCAATCGATCAGTCGTCTCCGGCTGCTCAGGTTCGATCGGACGCAGTGATGGAAGGACCATAACGGTGGTATGCGACCGCGGGTACGGGTAGCTGCCCGATGACGTCCGTAGTAGGCTTCTAAAAGTCGAAAAATTGTTACCAATTTTCTAGTGGTACTGTAACTTCGTTGGTATCCTGTAGACACCGAAATTTTGCATATTTTCCTATATTTAGGCTTCTGTGGGTAGGAACGTTGCGTATGTGTACGCCCAGGTACAAAAACACCGAAATTAGCATAAATACTACGATATGCGCCCCCGTTCTACTACCTGTCCGGCGTAGTTTGTAGCTCGGGCGGCGGCGACGCCTTCTTTTTCGACTTTTTCCGCGTAAAAAACCGAAAGAGCTGCATCATTATCCCGCGTTTCGGACGACCCGTCAGCTCAGCATCTACTGCGCATCGTGTCAAGGGGATTGTAACGGAATCGAGGGCATCGAGTGAAGAGCGCATTTTTGGAATTTGGAAATGAGGAACGGGGGCCGGATGAGGGGATCCTCGCGCCTCATTTAATGCATAGGAAACCGGAGAGAGAGAGAGAGAGAGAGAAGCGGCTTAGAGTAAAGGGATATTGCTCAAAATAGCCCCCCGCGGGAGCTTATTTACGGGAGAACGACTACGTCGGGCTCCGCTTTGGTTTCCATAGGGAGGGTTATGGCTCGTAAAAAAAAAACTTTGGAGATAATATCAAGATTGCTTCGGCTGGCAAGCTAGCAGAGGTCCTTGAGGAAAGTTTTGGCTATGCGTAAGCTAAAAATGACGTAGTAATCCTTCTCAAATTTCTGAAGAAGCTCGAAAACCGCCATGAATTTGACAAAATTGACGGCAGGCTAGCAGCGATCATTTAGGAATTTTATTTTCAGCCAAAAAGAAGGTAGCGAGGCAAACAAGCAAAGATCTGTGGGAAATTTTGGAAATTTCGATGAGCAAATAATAATTCTTGAGGGGGAGATAGAGAGAGGGGAGAGAGAGAGAGAGAGAGAGAGAGAGAGAGAGAGAGAGAGCGAGAGAGATAGAGAGAAAGCGAGAGAGAGCGAGAGAGAGAAGAGAGAGCGAGAGAGAGAAAGAAAGCGAGAGAGAGAGAGAGCGAGGGAGAGAGAGAGAGAGAGAGAGAGAGAGAGAGAGAGAGAGAGAGAGAGAGAGAGAGAGCAGGCTAGCGGATCATTGAGGAATACAAGTTTCTGAAAACATATGATCTTGTGCAAAATAAACTATCTTAAGCTTCAATTCAAGTTTTAATCCAAAACCCGGACACATCCGTCAACACGGAGTAAGGCGGAATGCTCTAAGGCCCACCACCCCGGAGATGCACACAGACGAAATTGAGTGGCAGTAGAGGGTGGAGAGTGAAGAGCTGCCCGCTTTTTTGTCTTTCTCCCCTTTCCCAAAACGCCTCGAAATTCTTTTTCGGTTTGGTTTGGTGGAAGTGAGAAGAACGGGCCACAGAGGGCCCACAAGTGCTGACGGGGGCCCACTGGGGGGCTAGCCGCATTGTCTTTCGGTTGAATGGAAGGCCCTTTTTGGGCTCATCGGATGCGAATTTTCGAATTTTCGCTCGGAAATTCGGCTTCTGGGGCTTCCATTAACTTTGGGGATTAGGAAGGGTATATTTTTGGGTTGTGTATCCGCTATATAATATTTAAAGGGAGGGTGCCAGAAACGCTTTGGGCTAGTTTATCCCTGTTTTCTCTCTCGCTCTCCGTCTAGCTCTCTCTCGCTTTCTATGGCTCTCTCAGCTCTCTTTTTCTCTTTCCTTCTCTTCTCCTGTTCTCTCACTCTCTCTTTCTCTTTTTCTCTCTCTTTATCTCCCTCTCTCTTTCCCTCGCTCTCTCTTTCTTTCGTTCTCTCGCTGTCTCCGGCTCTCTCGCTTTCTCTCCCGACGTCTCCGCCTCTCTCCTGTGTCATTCACTCGCTCTCACTATCGTTCTCAATCTCATTCTCGCGCTCACTTTAAAGGCCGGGCTCCAAAAATCGCCTGCTCTTGGTCATGCTCCTTCGTTTTCGGCCCCTTTACGGGCACCGACAAGCCAAACCCAGAAAGCTACGCTAAGCTCCAAATGACGACGTGATTCTGCAATTTCTTATGCCTGAATCCAAGGGCTTGGAACTTCAAGATCTCTTCCAAAAGTCGGGAAACTAACTACAACCTTTCAGTCCAGTCGATCTATTCCCCAGGGCCACGTTCAAACGCCAAATTTGCATAATCTACATTTAGCGGATCCCCAGGATGACTTTTGCCCCTCCCCCAGGCCTCATTCCTGGCCTCTAACCCCTGCCCCCCTTGGCTGACCCCCTTTCGCAATTAGGCGTCGATTCAGAGGGCCCGGGTGGCCAAGGAGGGCCCTGCACCAGGAAATCGCATTCCAGCGCATCGCCCCCTCTCAACTGACTACTTATAAAGTGATGGACGCGCTCGGAGCCTATTGTTTTACGAGGTGTAGTGAGTTTTGAGGCATAGTCTATGGGCTTAAAGAGATTGGGAAGGCAAGACGGGTTTTTTGGGTCGACTGAAAATTCCTAAAGGACCTCTGCTAGCTCGCCTAGGCGCTAATGGGTATCTCCGGCCTAAATCTACTTTCAAAAGCGCAAAAAATAATTTAAGGTGAAGGCGGCATAGGGGAGTATACAGCGAAAAAATTCACAAATTAAAACAAATAAAATCCAGATAAAACCTAAAAAAAATAATTTTAAAGATAGCATGAAAATTCTGAAATGGTGGCGACATGGAATCCATATAGCCATCCATGTGATGCCGTCAGGGGGTGTGAAATTCGAGCCGACGCGCAGGGGCCATGTTCACGCCATATTCAATAAAAAATTCGGGAATTTTAAGCTGATCTCTGCTAGCACCTTGTCTTTTCTCTCTGTCTCTCTCTCTATCTCTCTCTCTCTCTCTCTCTCTCTCTCTCTCTCTCTCTCCCCTTAACTATCAGTTAATTCTCAAAAAATCTCCTCTAGCCTCGACTTCTTGATCCCTTTACCCCATCGGTAATCCAGATTCTTGGCTTCTTCTTACCAAATTCCACCCCATCCCTACATGTCAATCCTATCCACACCCCCCAGGGCACTAATTTTCTCACTCGCCTGCCCCCGGTTCTACCCCTGGCAGCTTGTGCTACTTCTCGATGCATGCGGGTCGAATTCTAAAGGGTGCCCCCGGCCGTGTTCCCCCAATTGGCCCCATGGCCCCCTACACGCGCGCGCGCCCCATCAATCTGTCGCCCCGGAGCGTGGCGTACGTAAAGGTGGAGTGCCGCGTAGTGGCCGGCTTTATAGGTGCACATTGTTTTTATGGGGGCACTTTCAGGATTGTGGGGCTCGAGACTGGTTTGGAATTGTTTGTGGAGCTGAAAAAGGGCTAAATGATCTCCGCTAGCTTGCCAGGTATTTTTCCAAGTCTGGAAATTCCTAAAGAGTCTCTGCTTGCTCGCTATGGGTGGAACATGCTTAAAAAGATTCTCGATAAGAGCATTTCTGGCGATCCCGAGCTCGAAAATTCGCTGAAATTTCCGAAGTGATCTCTGCTAGCCTGCCAGGTCGTTTTCAAATCGGCTAGGATTTGTAAAGTTCCCAAATGTCATTTGCTAGTTATCCAAAACAAAATCGGTTCTTTTGCATTATCGGGGGAGGGATTTAAGGGAAATTCGTAAAAGTAAAAAAAAATTCGAAATTTTGGTCGAAGATCGGTATTTTTGTTTGAAAAATCGATTTTTTAAGCTTTTTTTCAAAATTGTGAGTTTTTCATTTGAGGCTAGTAAACCGCTTGCTCTATTTAAATTCGGAAAAGTTGCCCCTCCACTGATAACGCAAAAGCACCGCCAAATCGTTCTAAAATCGTCTAGTGCTTCGAAACTTCCTCAATGGCCCCTGCAAGCATGCCAGGTGTTCGGTCCCCCTAAAGCTTCTCTCTATTTCTCGGGGGGTATGTAAAGTGCCTGCCCCATCTCTTCGTTGGGGGGATAGAAGGAGGCGCCGAATCGAATTCTAGCCTCTCCCCCCTCCAGCCTATTCAAATTACCGGCTTTTTAGGAAGGGGGTTTTTGCCCACGTTTTAGCCCTTTGAAAGCCGGAGAAAGGCCAGAGAAATATGATTCGAGACGGGCCCGCAGGCGTTCCGGGGGTCTAGAAAAAATCCCGCTAAAAACCGGCTGAAATTCAAGAGGATGTTGAGGGTGTTAAAGGGATGAAGAAGGCGCAAGGCAGGCTAGCATAGATAATTTGGGAAATTCAGGAATGCCGAATTTATCGAGATTTCGCGAGATAGAGCTTTAAAGGTGCTGGGAACTCATGGAAGGTTGGTAAAATTCATGAGAAAAGTTATCCAGAAAATCGATAATTGCGTCGAATGACAGTGATAATGCCGACAACCAAAATCACGACAGCCAACGTACCGAGTCGGTTCCGTACTACCGACAAAACGAAACTACATCGGGATTGGCTTGTCGGCATTCTGTCTGTCGGCATTTTGGCTACCGGGCTTTCGGGATTTCCCACCTTTGTGATTTAATTTGGTAATTTAATAGAATTTAATATATTAATTCAATCTATTCAAATGGATTTAAAAGGGCGAACGGATACAGAAATGAGCTAAACCTAAAGTCCGTTCGGCACCTAGGTGACTGCAAAATCGAACGGCCAAACTCCCTGGGGTGCCAAACAATAGAGACAACGAGCGCTGCACGACCCAAATTCGGCCAGAGCAAGTGAAAAGGACCCGGGGCACAATAGCAGAGGTTATTGGGGAAAATCGGCCCCAGAGAGGAATTCTATTCTATCGAAATTTCGGGATAACGTCAAAAAACGCCCAAAAATGTTGGTGAAAACCAGAGCCCCAGGAAGAGGTGTCAACTGGATCAATTCGGAGCCGAGGACCCGGCGGATTTAAAGAAATATTGGAGGTTGGGAAGAAGAAGTGGCAGTGGTTGATCAAAGGTGTGAAAGAGAGGTGTGAGGGCCCGGGGATCCGGCGCTTCCGGTCTGGCGACGATGCTGAGGGGCCCACCTGGGCCTCACACCTGCCCATTTCTCCCCCATTTCATTCGGCTGCCATACGACTCAACATAACCTATAATTTTTGGCTCAAACTTGGGCTTAGGCTTGGTTTAGGCTCATGCTTAGGTTTGAGCTTAGCCTAGGCTTAGGTTGGGCGTAGGCTTCGGCTTAGATTTAGGCTTCGACCTGGTTTCGACTCGGCTTAGGCTTCGGCTTGGGCTTAGGCTTAAGCTTAGGCGTAGGTTAAGGTTTAGGCTTAAGTTTAAGCTTAGGCTTAGCTTGGGCTTAGGCTAGACTTAGGACTTAGGCTTAGGCTTAGAAACGTCTATAAAATTTTATATTGCATCTTCGAAATTGTAAATCTTAGCAAAAAAGGTTAAAAATTGGATATGACGCAAGACAAGCCCATTTTCGGGGCCAATTTGGACCCAAAGAAGTGTGTGTGGGGTTGTGTTAGTGCAGCAGCGTGTGGTCATCGCGCTGGGTCTTGGGTCCCGGTCCCTCGGGGCCCATTTTTCTTGGGGCCCACACACATTGAGGGCGACGACGCCGCTCACTCACACAATTAGTCAACACTTTCCCCCGCTTCCACCCGAAAATGCATGGGTTTTTCCGTGGGGCTCCGGGTGTTCGCTCGCTGCCCTGGGTGACTTTTTCGACAAAATTAAAGCCAAGCTGGTGAGCCAGAGCTTAGCGAGCATGAGCTTTGCATCAGGAGCTTTAGCACAATTATTAGAATGAATTAGCTACTGAGCTTCCCCAGTTTAATCTATTACGCTATGAAATACTCGCTGTATAAAGGCGATTTTATCAGAATTTACTTTATTCCTCTATAAGTGATAAATAATAAACGTTTCAATGGTGTTTTAAGTAAAATTTAGCTATGTTTTAAGCAGAAAATAATTAAAAAGAGTTACAACTTGGATCCCCCCGATAATGCCAAAGGACCTTAGATTTTGCTCTTGGGAGAAAATTAAGCGGTTTTTGGCTCGGGGTTTCATCGATTATGCCATGAAATTGGGCATTAAAAACCCCCCAATACAGCGTTAGGGCGGCTCGTAGAAAATAAAAGAAACAGGGCGTAGGGGTGCGCAAAAAATAAATATTTTCAACCTAAGTACCAAAAAACTCCGAATCCATCCGTTTTATTGGAATGAATCCCTGCGGGACCCGCGCCCGCGTGTTCCCACCTCCACTCATTAATTTTTCACCTTTATGGGGTGGGCCTATAGGGGCCGCATATCCGACGAGGAGCCCCTGATTTGGTATTCAATAGCCCTTCGAGGGGATAAAAAGGGCTGCGATTTTGTTTATTTTGGCTCTTTTGACCTTTTAAAACTTTCTCCAGCTTTAAAAATTATTTAATACCTTATTTCACATTAATAATCTAATATTTATATTACTTACTTGCTCGCCATCGTCCTGACGTCGTCGTACTGCTCGCCGACGTGGGCTCCCCGAAGATTTACGCGAAGCGGAGATGGCTCGAGGCGACGAGGTGCAGCCACCCCGCCGGCCACGCCAGCCAACGCTTCTCCCCTTTCCGCTTTCTCTAGCCGGTGCTCTCTCTCTCTCCCTCTCTCTCTATCTCTCTCGCCGCGTGGGCCCAAACTTGTCTACCCCAGCGAAGTCTCGCCCCGCCTCCGCCTCATTTCTCGAATTTTTCAGCGCGGGGTTCTACAAGTTGCCTGGGGCGTCTGGGCCCTCTCGCTGGGCCCCAGGGCCTTGGGTGGGGGCTTAACGGGCTGGACCCTAGGTTCTCTCGCTTCTCGCGCTGTCTCGCTGTCCTCTTCTGGGGCTGAGCCCTCCAGGGCCCGTTGGGTCCCTTGATTTCGCGCGTCTCGTCTAGCGGCATCTCTCTCTCTCTCTCTCTCTCTCTCTCTCTCTCTCTCTCTCTCTCTCTCTCTCTCTCTCTCTCGCTTCCACTCTCTCGCCCACCTGTCCAGGGGCCCTAATGGGTCCTCTCGCGGCTCTTCAGCGCCCCTCTGGGCACCGCCACGCTCTAATGAATATGGGCCCTCTCCCTACTACTCCCACGGGGAACAGCCAACAGCAGATCTGGGCCCCCGAGGATTTATGCCGTAATGAGGAATGAATACTTCCATGAAGGCTTGAGTTAGGCATCCGTTAAGCTTCAGAGAAGCTTTAAAATCAACCCAGCTAAGCCTAGGCTAAGCCCAAACCATGCCTATTCTTAAGCTATTCTTAAGCCCTGTGGTGACGACCCTAAAATGTGTCCAGCATACAGTAATCCAAAATTAGAAAATGACTTTATTTGGCTATTTGCACTAAATACATACAAATTTTATTCGCCCTTAAAAACATTGTTGTTCAACGGGTTGACGGGTGGTGTCTGCGAGGGGTGAGGGGTACGGTTGTAGCTGAAAATTTGTGGCTTTAGGTTTAATAGTTTGAATGAGAGAAAGGAGAGTGAGTGAGAGAGAGTGAGGGAGAGAAAGAGAGCAAAGAGAGTGAGAGACAGAGCGCGCGAGAGAGAGAGAGAGAGAGAGAGAGAGAGAGTGAGAGAGACCTTTGTACCCCCTTTACATACCCGTATAAAGTGTTCTCCTCCTGCTGCTCCTTCCACAGCAACGCGACGAGAAGTCGTTGGTATAGGCTGCGGGGCAGCACGCTGAAATGGGATCCCATTTCCCGATATATCCGCTTCCATGGAAATCCAAGTTTTTCGAGGGGGCCCACCCGGGACTGGGATGCCTTTATAGTGGTTGGTATAGCAGCGTAGTTTAACGTAGCGTAACGTAGCGAGGGTTGAAATTTGTGGAAATCGAGAAATTGTTTGTGACGGCTAACTACGAGCTGCTCCTATAGACGGATGCTTTTTGGGAGGTTAGTATCGTAGCGTATCGTAGATAGCGTAGTGTGGCGTAGCCTATCATATCGTAGCGTAGCGGCCGTTGACATTGTGAAATTTCAAAACTATTTTTCGAGCCCTCAGCTACGCGCAGCTACTAAAGACGGATACCACTGCGATGTTAGCATCGTAGCGTAGTGGAAGCAAATTGTGAGAGTTGAAAAACCGATTTTTGACCCTTAGCTACGACTAGCTCCAATTTACACTCTCACTTACCCCTTAATCGCAATCAAGAAGTAGAACGTCGCCGGCAAACACAACAGCCCCTGCTCTTGCTCCACAGCCCGGACTATCCGCTGTGCAACAAAAGTTGGGTTCATCAGCTCTTTCGTCTGGGCGGCCCTGAAAAAATGGTGAAAATACAGTAGGCCTGGTTACGGTAGATTATCAGCCGAGGTGAGCCGCGTGGCCACGTAGCCCGGGCAGACAGTCGTGAAGCGGACGCCTTCCTTGCCCAATACCTTGCACTCCACTTCCAGGGCCTCTTGCAGGGAGATAGCGCCCGATTTGGAGGCGCTGTAGTCGGACATGCCTGAAAATGGGGATGTCTTTCATTTTGTCCAATTCATCGTATCGAAATTTCATTTTGTCGAAATTTAGTTTTTCGAAATTTCGAAAAAGACATTGAATTTTTCAATGAGATTACGACAAAAATTGGATAGTCGGATCGTAAAAAAATCCCCAAGAATCTCTGCAAGTTACCCTGGCTCTAAAAACCCACCTGAGCAGCCGAAAAGCCCGGCGGCTGATGCGATACAAACGATGTGGCCGGAGTCGCGGCGGAGGAGACCGGGGAGGAACGCCTTGGCCACCTGTAAAGCTAAGAATTTTGAATCAAGGTACTGGTTTGTTAGCGGGGGGCGATCCTATAAAAATGGTCGATTTTCGTTAGAGGGCTGACGTGATTACTTCGAAAAATTTTGTTTTTCCCTGCCCCCCCCGCAAACAGTCCATTACCTAAATAAATTTTAAACGATGAAAGCTAAGGTTTAATACAGTCATAATTGAAGTTAAGGTCAAATACACCCAAATAAAACAATTTATAACAAAGTTCGTACCCAGAAATGCGCCAACAAATTGACCCGAATCGTCGCCTCGATCAAGTGGTCCTTCTTCTCGGCAAAGTACTTTTGCTGCGCGATCCCAGCGTTGTTAATGACTAAAAAAAGTTCAAAATCACTTGCATACCACCACTATCTTCTAATAACCCAACTCTATATACTATTCACGCACTAATGTCCGGCTCGGCGTGCTTCTCCTTGAACTCCTTGGCGGCGGCCTCAATGTCTGTTCGGCTGGCCAGATCCACGCGTCTCACGTGTACCTGAAATCAGCACGTAAGAGGCGGGTGAGTCCAAAAATTCCTGGTTGAGATTGAGCCCGAGATGTGCCTGTCACACCCCATTGACTTCACAAAAAGTGAGGTGGCGGGCGCACCTATTTTGGAACAGTGTACGCAAGGGGTGATGAGGGTGTTTATGTACGTCTAGATACTGTGAACGCGGGCTGTCTAGATACCTAAATATTGACGAAACAGCTCAAAGACCCCAAAACCACGAATTTCGGCTAAAATGAGGGCCCGGAGAGATTTTGGAAACGAAAGCCCTTGAAAACTTGGAAAATGGCGATAACCAACTGACCCTCGTGCCATTGGTGCGTGCCATCCGTGCCGTCTCCTCGGCGCCCTTCTCGTCAATGTCCCAGATGATCAGCTCGACTCCCTTCGTCGCCAGCGCCAGGCACATCTCGCGCCCCAGCCCCATGGCGCCGCCCGTCAGTAGTACTTTCTGAAAATGATTTTCTAAATAAATCATATTTTTCTGCAGTTTAATGCTGGGAAATTAGTAACACCTCTTTAAAACCGGCCAATTCCGTTATGAATAAATGACGCTTTTTTGGGCCAAAAACGCTTTATTCAGCGTCTTCAAGGAGTAAAAATGAGAATCTCCGCCAAGCGCACAAAGAAACAGCGTACAATGACGCCTCGCGTAGCGCGAACAATCGTTGGAACTCACCTTTCCACGCAGATCCTTGACCGGCATGAAACGCCCGTCGAACACGTTGAACCAGACGGCCCGGATGACCTCCCACACCAAATTGATCGGCACCATCGCCAGCGCTATCACGTCGGCCAGCACCATTTTTATGTTATACTGAAAAACGTCATAGATTCAAATAGCAAAAAGTTTAAACGTTTGTGAAAAATAAGGAAATATGCGGCATAAAATTGGATTCAGAGAAAAAATAATATGAGCAAGAAAGAAATAATATGATTTTTGAGCAAAAAACCACAAATTCTCATATTGTTATGATCTTGTTGTCTTTAAAAACTGTGCATAATGTTATAAAAATCGCGAAGTTTCTATATTATAGGGCCTTACGAGATTACTGCGGAAAAAAATTGGTTTCCCCCCTGCTAACAGTCCAGTACCGGAAACAATGCCACAAAAATGACATCTGGGAAGCAGTAGATATCAGTAAAAGGGGTATTTGCTATCATGATGTCGAAATTCATAATTTCGCAAATTCAATATTTCTAAGTTTTTTTTGTATCGGATTCGGGAGGTTTTTCCTGACATCTGCCTATGCAAATTCCGGCATTATGAAATTTCGAGCGTACGAATTTCGAGATTATGGGTTTCGACAGTAATAATTTTTAAATTCTGACTTTCGACTTTATGAATTTTGAAATTAAGACATTTCAAAGATAAGATTTCGACATTTTGAAAGCAACCCGCAAAAGTACTAGATGAAATCTAGAAACTACTTGTTTTCCGAACGCCCTCAAAATGACGCGATGCGCCCTCGGCGGGTCCAAGGGACCAAGTTGTCGACTGCGTGGCTGGGTGCCAGCGTCTCTCTTGTGAGAAGCGTCTCGAACAACATGTCAAAGCCGATCAGCCACTACCCCTGTATCGCGCACCTCGATCGGGGAGCAGGAGGAGGAGGAGGAGGAGGAGGACCGTTGGGCGATGTGGGTGAGGAGGAGGAGCAGCAGAAGGAGGTGATGAGGGAAGGAGCCTGAGGACCCTCCTTCCCTCCGCCGTTGCTTCTTTATATCGTCTGGTTGGGGTGGGGAGGACCGTTCGGTTGTACCCACAAAAAGCCGCAGCCTATCTGATCATACGAGCCTTCCCCCTACCCATGGCCCATTCGTCAAAATTACCCTCAAAAATTTGTGACATGTCGCGCGTTGGGGAGGAGAAGGAGGAAGAGCAGGACCTTGGGGAATTGACGAGTTCAAGATACAAAGTTAAAGGCGATTTCGGTATGGTAAAGGCAATACTTTTCAAGTATCGCGCAAGAACTGACTACCGAAGTTTGGGTACTGGGCTGTTAACGGGGGGGAGCATTTTGCACGATGACACGATGGTCAATTTGAAGATTAAACCCGGATTTTGCTGATTTTCTATGTTTAAAAAACGGCGGGATTTAGGGTACTGGTCTGTTAGCGGGGGGATTTTTCCCAGTAATATCGTACGGTCCAAAAAATTCAAATCACCATCTATTTTCGTATTTTTCATTTTTTTTTTCTAAAAGGCCTGAAACCTGACCAAAAAAAGTGAGAATTTTCGAATTTTCAAGATGTTTTCTAACTTTCTAGCAATCAAAAACGACTAAAAACAGTATAAAAATACACTATTTATTATTACGAGGTATGTTAGCGGAAAGATTCGTGAAATCCACCTCCTTCCCGCCCCCCGCCCCCCCGCTAACATCCCAGCACCGGAATCTCGTCGTCCTGAAAAATGTCATCTTTTCTCCCCACCATTCAGGATTCGAACCCGGGCCTTGTGCTTGGAAGGCAAGAAGCCAACCACTGGCACACGAGCCAGTTACGACATCAAATCTCAAAATCACAAAACTTGAACCCAATGTTCCGCTAGCCACACGAATTAGCGGCATCAGAAACCAAGACGACCCGCCACGATTTCCGAACTGCCGGGACACAAAATTTCACCAACTTTCCCGACGGCTTTTCCTTCCAAAAGCCGGCAAAAAACGGAATCTGTCCGGCAGAACAGACGGGCCCCCCACAGAGCGCGTCTCAATGATGTTTGTATTCGCCCATTTTTTGTGCCGGCTGATGCGAGGTCAATTTTTGGGGGCCAGCGTGGGCACCTCAAAAATAAACAGCAAACTGATAGGCGAGGTGGGGTGGGTGCTGTGAAATGGCGGCGAAAGCTGAATCGACTGTATTACTTTATTTTCAGAAGGGTATCCCAAAAAAAACGGTGATTTTTAGAAATAGAAAAGCGAGAAAATACGGTTTAACCTTGGAATTGAGCATCGAGCCATCGAGCGGTTACAGGTGGCCGTTAGGTGTCAGTTTACGACCTACGGATTGTTCCAGACGTTCAATGGAAATGGGAAAAGACTAAAAATACATGTCTAGACAACCTAAACTAGAATAACAAAATTTAATGCCATTTAAAACTATCTCCGAAAAAATTGGTTTACGATATGATAATTCCAGAAATTATGGTGCTTACAATTTAGCGGGGGAGCCGTTTTTCCGACTAATTCCGCCCTGTAACATAAACATAAACCAATATGGCATGGACAACGTTTTTAGAGATAAAAAGTTCATAAAAACAAAAAATCGTCGAAAAACCCAACCTTTTAATTTTTAGTTTTAAAATTTCAAAAAATTTTTTAAGATTTTTGTCTGAAGTCTTGGCTTAAAAATCTGTAAAACTGCGGAATACAATTTTAACCGGTTCAATAGGCGGTAAACCAGAAAAATTAACTTCCCCCTCGAGTTTCAACGTAGTGTTCACGTTTTTCAACTAATTCTTAAAACCCAGCCTCCAAGTCGTCAAGGCCCCAAGAGAAAAACGCTATGATTTATGCGCCAAAAAATCCCCCAAAAATACCTAGCCATCTCGAACCCCTGCTTATGACCAGGGATCAGTTCTCCGCGGGCTTCGACCAGTTGATAAGGACGAAAGCGTCGAGAGCCGACGCCGTTTCACGCCTTTTTTTAGTGTTTGCTTTTCGGCCACCACTCAAAAGCGCCGTCAGGATGGCAACACGAAACCGCCTACAGTATCGTCAAACAACGAAAAATTGCAACTTTCCTGGAAAGCAAATTTACTTCCTTAAAATCTACATAAAATGGTCGGAAACACGATAAGCATCGCGGATGCAGTATAAATCCCTAAAAATCAACTCTCTAATCCATTTCATACTTTTTCTTAAAATTTATCCAGTCTAAACTAACTTCGGTAAGTCCAAAAACTCATGAATCTGCATTTTCGTTTCAAATTCCAGGTCGAAAGATGTGCAAAGGTCCCAAGAAGGAGCTGGTCCCGGTGGCAGCACCACCACCCAAAGCAGCCCCCAAAAAGCCGCGACCATCGGCGCAGTCACACCCTAAACTCTCCAGCTCGCCGGTCCCGAGCAGTCAGCCCACACAGCCGAACAGCTCGGATGAGAAGAAGGAGAAACCTCCGGTGGTTTGTAAAATTGTACTTTTTTACATTTCTTCGTTTCGTCTTGCCATCGATGCATTCACGCATTTATAACATTTAGAAAGAGCCCAAGCGAGCGCACAAGACGAAAGGGTGCACCGAAGCGACGCAGGCATGCTGGCACCACTTTTACCTAAAATAACCAATTTAGGGCTCGGTCAACCACCCGCCCGACAAGACGGACGAGTCGGACAAGACGCAGCGCGCCTCCTCCCCAATTGTAAATACCGCAACAAAATCGAAGACCCTATTCTCAGAACCTCGCCAACTACGAGGTCATCTACAACGCGATAGAGCCCATAAAGAATCTCGTCCAACGCGAGCTGACGGATATTGAAGTAAGAGCTTTGGTGCGTTTCCTATAACAAATTTCAGGAGGCGAACCCCGAATACGTGACGCTGACCGCGTTGATGGTTGACGAGAAATGGCCGGCGTATTGTGTGAAGGTAGGTTGGCGGTCCTAAACCATATCTACCGATCCTAGCCCGGCAACAACAACGACAGCAAGGACGCCGTCCGGTCGGCGCGGAAGACCAAATGAGAAACCAGCCCCCACTTTGCTAATGCTTGCTTATTCGTGCTTAATAAAGTTAACTATCGTATCTACGCTGTTATTGCTTTGGAAATGAAGCCAGTTTCAACAACAAATTTATCACAATCCTATCATACCATTCCAAAATATCATAATAAAGTGTGCAAAAGCGAAAACAGATTGCTTACAGTTTCTTTGCTCTTCCGCGCCGCTTTCCGGCCGCTCCACGTCGTTTTATGCATCCGCGCAGTTTCTTCTTTGGCGGCTCCTCTGCCGCGTCATCGTCTTCTCCGTCTTGCTCACCTCGTTCACTATCGACTTCTTTCTTGACGTTTTTGTTCGCGTCTACATCACCTTCCTCCTCCTTCTTGATGCCCATCAGGAGACGATATCGCACATCCGGTTGGAAGTAAGTATTTCCCTCGTGAAGTAGCTTCAACGACTCGGCGACAAACTCGAGCTTCTTCGCCGGCAATGCTCCATAATTGTGCGGAAACATGCGCAGGCCGTGCGTTTGCATCTCGGTGGTCAGTGCGATCAGTTTGTCAGCGTCCTCGATGCCAATGTCCAGGAAGCATTTCGGGTCGAAGTTTCGCCAGTATTCTTGATTTCTGCGCAACGTCTCGGCGTCTTGATCAGCATCACCAGTTTCACCGTCGTTGACCGATTCGTAGTTGGATTCAGCGCCATCATCACTGGAGTCCACGGCAATCACGAGGTCTCCCATCTAGAATTGAAAAATTAGGTGCATCAAGGACGAATATCAAGAGAACGTGATGGAAAAAGGGAAAGTGTTTTTGAAAAGTTATTTTTTTTATTTTTTGCGTTTGCGCGGGTTTAAATAGGCTAAAAGCCTTGAAACATCTTTTCGGAAGAATTTTATGCGGGCTTCTAACAATTTGAAAAAAGAACGCTTGAGGGCCGAAAATTGAAAGAGGGCGCGCGCGGTCCAGTAAAAAACCCCAGATACAGCGTTCGAATATTGCACTATTCGCAATACTTCACTAAAATGAGGTTTAATAGTATCTACCGACGTCATTTCACAATCCATGCGCATAGAAAGTATTTGACATGTCAATTACTTTCTTTCGATAAGATCACAGCGTTTTCTTTATATCGCCAAGTTTGCTACACGCTAAACAAATTCTTCTGCGGTGTAAAAGACAATATCCTTAACAAATATTTATAGCAACTATCCGGAATTGGAAACTGCTTTATTCTTTCATCGTTGTCTTCCGGGGGATTTCATTGGGGCAAAGGGTGCATTATGTTGGGCGGCCGGCGGTTAGCCTTGCATTTGCCATTGCCGGGCGAAGTTTCCTAAAAGATCAGCTTCATTTTAAGATTTTGGCTTACCGAATCCATAGATGGGCGGGCTCCTCTTCACCGGCTGTGCGTTTTGTTGTCTAGAAAACGTGGTTCGTAGTTTTTTTAGGGTTTTTTAAACCAGAAAAAGTTCTACTTTTGCAATCCTCACCTCCAGAGTCCGTTGAACTGGTCCAAACCTCCAAATGCAGCGCCACCCAACATCCTAAAAAACGGCTTAGTGGTTTTTATAAATCTACTACTCTTGTATTTGATTTAGCTTTCTAAGAGAGAGCTATGAGTCAGCAAAAAGCGCTAGAGATTCTCCAGTATAGCCTATTAGGTTTATCCCAGTGTCGCCGGGCCGTTGATTTGTCTCCTAACAACGTTGCGACGTCCTCGATGCGTGTTCTAGGGTAATTGACCCCGCGCCGGCCAGGCGACATCAAATAGAGAAAGCTTCTCAGACTAGGTCTAGAGTAATTTCAGGGCCTTTGAATGTGAGATTCAGCGTCTTGATCCCGCCGTTGGGTTGTAACTTTCAGTAAATTCTACCTAGTAAATACCACCTACCGCTTGTCCATCTCCATGCTGTAGGGGGCGGCTGTGATGATCGCCACAAGGAGAGCGCAGAGGAGAAGCCACAGCTTACCAAGCATTGTCGGGGCTACAAAAAAAATGTTTATTAAAAACTACAAAATAAAATAAGGAGCTCGATATTGAAAAGGACGGCCAAAGAAAAATCTTGTGGTCGACGCGATAAAAAAATGATAAAATTGGGCAAATGGCAACAATCCAGCGATGTTTACTGAACCCGTCCAAATGTTGGTCGGCCAAGATCGAATTCCGCGGCGGCCGACAAAGATTAATACGTTTTTAAGTCAAGGTTTGCAAAGTCGAGACCTTACGGGCCAAAAACTGCTGAAACAACCCCGGTGGGTGCATCTTATATCTGGCCAAGTTGGGATAAACAACAGTGTGTTTTTTTGTTAAGCTTTCAAGAGACGCAACCGTCAGGCCGAGGCGTCTAATCCGTGCGTGGTGCGCAGAAGACGGTCTGAATGAGGCGACGCCCCAATCGACAATGTTTTTCAAGGGATTTCATGGGCGGAATACACGGCAGAAGCCCCTGGAGGGCGGCGACATTGTAAAAGTTTTCAGTCACCTAAACTCGGTGCAAAATACGGCGCCGGCGTTACGTAAGTGGAAACGTAATGGACGGTGGGGAGGGGTGTTTGTTTTGCGTTTAACAGACAACAAAATTAGTAAGGCTGTCTTAGAAGGTTATATTGAACAGGAACGTAAAAAACAAATATTGGTTTTCCTCCATGAACAGTCCAGTGCCGTAAACTTTGAAAAAAAGTAGGTACAATTCAAATAGGCGGGGGAGGGGGGAGTTTAGGCGGGGGGAGGAAACCAACTTTTTTTTGTCGGCCCCTGGGGGATAGTAATCAAATATAAAGTGTTTATGTACATTTTAGCATAGTTTAAGGCATATCTAAACGGAGGCTCTTTAAAAGTACTGGAAAATCTTTTGAAAAAAATTGGGGTACGCTTTTTGGGCCGAACAAATTGATTTTTCGACTTAAAATTTAAAAATTTTTAATTAAGTTTTGGAAATTTTTTTTATGTTTAGGAATAGCTATAAACAATTTAGAAACACTTCCACTATTTATATAAAAAATTTAGGCTCGGGTGGAAAAAAGTTCGGTTTCCCCCCCCTTAAATCTTTCCCCCGCCTATTTGAATTGTACCAAAAAGTAATTTAATAAACTTTATGAAAATCGGGCCATTTTAGAGTCTAGATACCTACATTTACATTCATTACTGAAGCTGCGCGAGCCGTGCGGCATTTTTCGCTGCCTAAATACTCCAAAAAACGCCCATCCGGGGGCGGGATCCGGCGTAACAGCTACCGTAAAAGGACCCTGATGGCAACATGCATGTTTTCGCCCGTTTCCGGCGATGAATGGCGGGCATACGGTGCGTGGGGAGTCAAGGCTTGCCATTTTGGCGCCGGATTAAATCCGGATTCATCGGTCAAAACGGGGCTGATCCCTTCTTCCCAAATCAGGGAGGAAGCCCCGAATGCTAGTCACCCGGCCGGCCCAATAATACTAATGAATGGGGATCCATTAGGGCCCGCAAGAGATGGTATTAATGGAAAGCCGGGGTGTGCAGAAAATGGCTTTTTGGGGTGGGCGTTTTTGGGTGATTTTTGGATGGGTATGCTTGAAAGAAAATGGGAATTTTTTCAGTCATCTTGTACGGTCTTATCACAAAATTTAAACCATTTTTATAGCATTTTACGCAGTTGACACCGTTTTTAGATATAAAACCTTCAGGCAAAATTATAAAAAGTAACTTTTTGGTCAAAAAATGCATAAAAATTACCAAAAAGGTCAGATGTTCGAATTTTCAAAACTGTTTAAAATATTTTTTGTAACTTCCTAGCAATTAAAAGCTCCGCAAACCATTATAAAAATACGCTATTTATGATTAACAGCTAGGCATAGGCGGAAAACAAAAAATTGTTTTCTCCCCATACTACTAGTCCAGTGTCGGCAAATCTGAATCGCGGCGCCAAACTACGATGTATCATCATCCTGAAAATAGAATGCCTAAACACATCGGCTCTATGGGAATCGCGGCTACGCTTCATGGCAACGCCATTAAAATCCAGTAAGGCAGGGGCATACACGCGCAAAACACGCGGAATCTAATGCGTCGAAAAATCGGATTTATATTTATCGCCATGGCACTTTCAGGTCTAAAACTAAGTGGATAAAGTGCCGCGCACAAAATACAACGAGAGTTTGGGCGGAAAACAAAAATTTAAGAGTTTATAGGTCATCTACCACCCCCCGGAAATCCCAGCGAAAAAATGGGAAAGTAAGAAATCTGGGAAATTCCTTATCCTACGTATGCGGGAGTATCGTTTTTTTGCGGTGGTGGCGCGCTTGGAGAACGGCCTCCAGCACTTCTCACGCCACTTTCGATGATTATTTGATGCGGGGCCCCGGGGTTTCCGTGCATCGGTTATTGATAGGGAAGTAGAGGGGAGGAACCTAGAGCCTAGAAACATAGAATAGCTTGCGTTAGAGAAGCAAACGAAACTTACGCCGTTACTCGGTCCAAGTTTTGCGATGTCACATAGCTTATTCGATCGAGCTTGAAATTTTGAACCAGTTTCCGCTTTCAAAAGCTACTGAACGACCACGGGTTTGGAGAAAACCTGGATTGAAAGCGTCGATTTCTTCGAGTTTTGGGCGGCGCTTCAAAAAATGGGCACATTGAGAAATTGTTTCGATACTGGACTCTTAGCGGGGAGGGGGATAAAAATTCATAAAAAAATTGAGAAACCTTGAGAATTCGAAAATTTTTAATTTTCATACATTTTTGCACAAAAATAACATTTGCTAATATTTTTATGAGTTTTTATATCTAAAAACTAGATGAAAATGGTCATTAGTTGATCATAGGGCCGTACGGGGTTTACATGGAATAGTGGTTCCTCCCGCTAACAGACCAGTACCACTGTTTCTTGAGGACCGCTAAAATTTTGGAAGATTACCCCTGTTAAGAATTTGAAGCTTTATCGAATGAGTTATGTAACATGCAAAATTCGATTATTATCACCTAAAAACAGCTAAAAATCAATCAAAATTATCAATCTTTAAAAACTTCCTTGTTGCAGCGCC